GGTGGCCGGAGCGGCGACAAGGCTCCGGCCGCCGAGGAAGAAGGGAGCACTGCTCCCATTCCCGAGAGGGTATTTTATTTATTTATTTATTTATTTCATTTTTGTTATTTTATCACGTGCTGGAAATGAATTTTTGTTCATTTGTTTTCTGGGTGCAGGTTCAAGTAGGTGGTTCTCCGTTATACAGATTAGATAGAAAACTTGGTAAGGGAGGGTTCGGACAAGTGTATGTGGGTCGGCGACTTGGCGCCGGTGCTGGAGCGTTAGAGGTATGTCATGAGTGTGTTTAGCTTTAACGCCGTGTTTGGCTTGAAAGTTATGGATTTTTTTTGATGATTTTTTTATGTTGTATGTGGAGTACTTGTAGGTAGCTTTGAAGTTTGAACATAGGAGCAGCAAGGGGTGCAATTATGGACCTCCTTATGAGTGGCAAGTTTACAAGTGAGTCAACTACCTTTTTCTCGCTTAAATATTTTCAATCAAGGTTTTAATGTATGGTTTTGTCACTATCCTTGATATTGTGTCAAAGCCTTGACGTTTGGCCACGTCGGCGCGAAACCAAGGTTTTAGAAAAGGTCTGCAAGGGTTTTGGGGGTGTGACTGCATGTGGCCGCATCAGTTGCATTTGTCTTCAGTTTTCCACAATATCATAGGACCTGACTTTATTTAAAAAGCTTGTGAAAAACCTTGATGTTGTTGTTGAAATTGCATCTGCTGACCATTTTTTGAAAAACTTGTTTTGAATGTTCCATGACTCCATGATTCACATTTTTTTTTTGTTGTTGGTATTTTTATGTAGTGCATTAGGTGGTAGTCATGGCGTTCCACGAGTTCATTACAAGGGACGTCAAGGTGATTACTATGTTATGGTATGTGTGCTAAAATGGACATTCTTTGGCAAGCGGGGTTGGAGGTTTGCGTTTTTGTGGAGTGTTTTCACAATGTGACATTGCATTGTGTTGTAATGTAGGTTATGGATATGCTTGGCCCTAGTCTGTGGGATGTTTGGAACAATAACTCAAACACGTAAGTTTTTTCATGAGATGGAATGCATGTTATTTTGTCAATGTTGTGGTCAATAATTTGTAGATAACTTTGTTTTCTCTTTTTGTGGCTTTAGGATGTCTGCGGAAATGGTAGCATGTATAGCAATTGAGGCTATCTCCATATTAGAGAAGATACACTCTAAAGGGTGATTCTCTTTTCTCTTTATTCTGCTTATGTTTTATGTCTGACTTTTATTTTTAATTGAGCATTGAATTTTGATGCACTCCACAACGTTTTGTTGTGTACCAAATGCTATCTTGGGTCTTCTCTATCTTTAGCATATGGGATAAACTTGTTTAATAATTTGTTATTTCCCTTTGGTGAAATGATCAAAGAGCAATGTGTTATGTACCTCTGGCTAAGTAACCTCTATATGAAAATAAATTGGGAAACATTAAATGACAGAAATCTTTCTTGGTTACTTGGATTGTATTGTTTGTTTGCTTTTGCTGTTTTTCTGTGCAATGATAGCGTGATGGATTAAACCTATGATCTTTGACTTGTCATATATGAAAATCCCTCATTGCCAGACCACTTCTAGGCTTTGATGGCAATTACTGTTTAACAGATTTGTGTGAGAATGTACTCTTAACTCACAATCTGCATAATATACTTGGAGAAAGACTTGGCTATTATTGTCATCTGTATATATAAATTTTTGAAAATATAGGATTTGGATGGAAAAGGAGTGAAAGAAGAAAAAGGGCCTACAAATAAATATAACATTAGACTGATATGGGATTAATGGATTTGTGTTAAATACAAACCAGTACCACATTTATATTGATAATTAGGTCAAATACTGCTTCAGATTAATAATGCTCTTAATCCTAACCTAATGTTCTATCAATATCTATCTCATTGTTGGGAATAATCTCACCATGTTGCTGCCATTTGTCAGATATGTGCACGGTGACGTAAAACCTGAGAATTTTTTGCTTGGCACCCCGGGAACTCCTGACGAGAAGAAGCTTTTTCTGGTTGATCTTGGTTTAGGTAAATATTCCATCATATCATTGAAGTCGTGGCACTGTCACTTTCATTGAATATTTGCCCAATTTCTCATAATACATCTATGCACTCTGCCCTCTTTTAACATGCAGCAACTCGATGGCGGGATAGTTCGACAGGCTTTCATGTTGAGTACGATCAACGCCCAGATGTATTTAGGTAAATTATTTGCACATTTAATTTACTATAGACTTTCTTAGCAATGTCCAGGCTTCTGTTTGATGAACCATACCATATTCTTGCTACAGGGGAACAGTTCGTTATGCTAGTGTGCATGCTCATCTCGGTAGAACAGGTAGCAGGAGAGATGATTTGGAATCTCTTGCTTACACGCTAATCTTCCTTCTTCGTGGCCGGCTACCTTGGCAAGGATACCAGGTTCTATTTGCGTTAAATATAGTCACTTTGATGTCAGTAATAAAAAAAAATTGTTGTTCTTATAAAATTGTTGGTTGCAGGGAGAAAACAAAGGATTTCTTGTCTGCAAGAAAAAGATGGCCACCTCTCCAGAGACTTTGTGTTGTGTCTGTCCTCCACCTTTTAGGCAGTTTGTGGAGTACGTGGTGAATTTGAAGTTTGATGAAGAACCAAATTATGCCAAGTATATATCACTTTTTGATGGAATTGTTGGTCCAAATCCAGACATCAGACCCATAAACACTGATGGTGCACAAAAGGTATGAAATTCTCTATATCTTTAATGTGTTCAGTTTACTCTATAAAAATAAAGGCTAACTCTTGTTGCTATTACTTGGTTTGTGCTGTGAAGCTTATATATATGGTTGGACATAAGAGAGGACGATTGACTGTGGAAGAAGATGATGATGAACAACCAAAGAAGAAGGTCAGAATGGGAATGCCAGCAATGCAATGGATTAGTGTGTACAATGCTCGCCGGCCAATGAAGCAAAGGTTTTCTTCTGAATTTAAATAAATATATTACAGCCAACGTTAAAATGCTCAGAGTTTATGGCTTTTATTTTTTGGTGCAGGTACCATTACAATGTTGCTGACGTGCGGTTGTCCCAACACATTGAGAAGGGATACGAGGATGGGTTATTTATCAGCAGTGTAGCTTGTTGTTCTAACCTTTGGGCTCTTATTATGGATGCTGGCACGGGTTTTACTGCACAAGTTCATGAACTCTCACCCAACTTTCTTCACAAGGTTGAGTTATGTTTTAGTTTAAGACTGTCAGTCATTGGTGGCATTGTATGTTTAATGTTAGTAATGTCATGTTTATATCTGTCATACTGTATTCTGTCAACTGTTTGAATTTAATGCATATTGATGAACTAATATAATTGTTTTTATAGGAATGGATAATGGAACAGTGGGAAAAGAATTATTACATTAGTGCCATAGCAGGATCTAATAATGGGAGCTCATTGGTTGTAATGTCTAAAGGTAAGTCTTTGAAGCTCTATTCTTCAGGCATGGAGTATTTTAGTGGCGATAGTTGGCTTGATTTTGAGGATCTGTTTAATTTTGTCAATAGTATTGTGTTTAGATTGTCTTACATCTGTTGGTGGTTTGTTGGTTTCAGGGACCCAATACTTGCAGCAATCCTATAAAGTCAGTGAGTCATTTCCATTCAAATGGATCAATAAAAAATGGAGAGAAGGATTTTATGTCACTGCTATGGCCACTGCTGGGAGTAGATGGGCAATTGTTATGTCCCGTGGTGCTGGATTTTCAGACCAGGTTTTACTATTATTTTTTAAGCATATTTCAATTGAAGTTTTTAGTTGTACTATATTGTATGCAATGTGAGTTTTTCTTTCACTAAAATTAATTTCAGGTTGTGGAACTTGATTTCCTGTATCCTAGTGAAGGCATTCATCGGAGGTGGGACAATGGCTACCGCATCACTTCAACTGCTGCTACATGGGACCAAGCTGCTTTTGTTCTTAGTGTTCCAAGAAGAAAACCTGCTGATGAAACCCAAGAGACACTCCGTACATCTGCCTTCCCTAGTACTCATGTCAAGGTGAATACTGCACCTTTTTCTGCTGTTTCCATTTTCATTTTTGGTCAGAAATGCTTATATTTGATATATATTGTTTATACAGGAAAAATGGTCTAAAAATCTCTATATTGCATCTATATGCTATGGGAGAACAGTTTCATAAACTGTGTAGTTTTTTGAGATTTCGGCTGACTTCATTTTGACTTCATTCATCAAAGTGTCTGCTCTTAGATCTGCCAGTTCAGAATTTGGAAACCCTCTCTGACAAGTTCACTGACCAAAGAGCTATTCAGCTTTGATGTATGCTAAACCTTTCTTTATGGACGTCATCACTTGTGATATGATACAATACCTGTGCACTGTATATCAAGTATTAGAATGCTTATGAGCAACTTTAGATCTTTCTTGTTCTCTGGGATGGGTCTTTTGATAAAGAGATTGTAGAGATTTGAACAATAATTACTGCGTTGAAGGCATTGTGTGCAGGTTAGGTTTTTAGTTTATAAATGGTATTTTGGCCAATGTGCAACTTTGATTTTCCTGTGGGAACTGGACATTTTGAGCTGTGCATCATTGTACTTAGACCTCTTTCCTTTCCACTTTTGACTTATGGCCTCTTGGATGTCTGAATTTGACCTTGACTTTAAATGGAAAATGGTGGTAAACTTGGCACAGCATGTAACTCATTAAATTTTTATAATCACTGTGTATATATATTTTTTTTTGTTTCTTTTATATGTTAATTATATTTTTTATATTCAGTCACATCCAACTTGATTTTTGATAAAGCACAGTGCTTCATTTTTCTCTGTAGGTTCCCCACTTAGTGGCAAAAGGGGCTTGTTGCTGCTGTAGTGACTTCTAACTTTATTGTTTTTTTTTCTTTTCTGATTATTCTCACTTAATATAAGATAGGGCTAAACTAATTGAAACAAAGGATAGCAATTGTTTAGTTTGAAACTTTCCCAATATCATGTTCAACTCTTTAATTTGTCTTTTGTGCTTTTGACAATCTTGTTTTCACCTAGACTCTGAATTTATATAAATTCTGTTTTGGGTGATTATTAATTGTTTAAATCTTTACTGTGAAATTTTTACTTTAGGAAGATCATGTTTTGTGCTGATGTATCAATTTTTATATCATGATTGTTTTAAGTGAGGAGCTATGTGAACTTCTGCTCAGTTTCTAGGAGTTTCAATTGATAGAAATCTATTAGCTGCTTATCTGAATTTGGTGATGACGACAAATGTTCTAATCACATTTTGCTTCCAGTAGCGGAAATATGCATTGGCTCCTGGCTAGTCAATCTACATGACTGGGTGCTAATTTTCTTTAATTGTTTCTACCATCGTGCATGGCAGAATACGCTCTTGATTCTGATGAGCAGTTGGGTATCGTGGAAGCTCAGCTGTTGTGATACTGTTAACGCTTTTGTTGTGCTTGACCATATTGAGTTGTATATCACCTGAATCTTCTTGAACATCTGAAGCAGGTATTTAATTCTGTAGCTACTGTTATTGAGACCTCTGATATTTTGTGCAGCTGAATTGTTTGCATACTTTGATCTAGATATGCCTGTATATCGATGATATGTTTGATGATGTTCATTTGGCCTGATGGAACAAGGCTTCAGTTCCTGACATTATGGTGGTAATTATTTTCTTGTAGTTGTATGTCTTGTTACATGTAACTTCACTCATATTTCTTTGTCTCAATAAAACCAAGGTTCTTCGGATACTTAATTTTTAGTGGCTATGGTAACTCGCAGATTTATACTTGTTGGTTCATACTATGATTATGATTGTGGAGCCACCCATATGTCAGTGGTGAAGCTGCTCAAGGAACTGGAGCTTTTGGAACTATGTACTGTATGTGATTCTTTCATTTTTCAAATAGGTGAACCATTTGTAGTAGAGTGGGGAAGGGGGGGGGGGGGGGGAGGTAATTGTTGAATCTAATGTCAAATTTAGTTAGTGATATTTTAAATTATCTTAACAAAATTGCCGTATTTTGATTGTCAAATCACAATATCAAGCTAGTTTTGTGATTGAGGTCTAGTAGATTTGCCTGTTAGGTGTAATTACGTTAGTAAGTATGGGTGATCATTGAATGTTGGCTGTGGTTCAAGTGTTTCACTATTTCATTTGTGCTAGTGGTCGTGATCGGGCTTTACATAACATAGATAAAATATGAATAATGTGAAAGTTATTATCGTAAAAAACCTTAGTCTCACATTAATTAAAAATAAGATAAATAAAAAATATAATAAATGGGGATAATATTCATCTTGCAAGTCGGTTTTTGTAATGTTCAATTAGTTTCATAATTCATATTATAAGATGGTATTAAAACTATCAGAGATTTTTTAAAACGGTCAACCAACATTTATATACAAACCAAGTTTATTAGTGTTTACCATGTTTAATAGTGTTTGGCGTGAGAGGGTGGCTTGGAAAAAAAATTATTGGGGAGCATTCTTTACTTTATAAGTTGGTTTTCTAGGGCTGAAATGAGTTCAAATTCACATTTTAAGAGTTATTCCTTACTGTTGGAGCATCTTCTAAGATGTATATATCTATTTATTTATCTCTTCATAGCTATAATTCTTCTGCTATGGGGATTACCACGGGAATAAGTCCTGTACAAGGTTGTTGCCTTGCCTTGCGTGTATTCTAGCTTGTTTCCCTTTAAAAAAACAGAGGTAAGAATAAAAAGGTAAATTCTAGCTGTAATTCGTCCTATAGTTCATTTCAGAGCTTCTTGACATGATTGAACAAACTTTCCACTTCAGGGTTTTAAGTTGGGGGAACCAGACCTGGCTATTCATAATATATACTGTTAATGAGTGACTCTTGCAATCATGTTTCAATCTTAAAGAACCCTTAATAATTTTAATGTTGATCTTACAAACATGCTAACCTGGGTTCTTTTAAACGTGTAATCAAACGTTTAAAATGATGGTTGCTCTGTCAGCTCAAAGGATAGATGCAATGGTTGGTAACTGTTGATATTTTACTTCTAAGATACTTCCTCTAGTTTCAATTATAAAATAAAAAATTGATTTAAAGTATTTTAAGTAAATTAGTTATCTGTATTAAATTTTACTAATTTCATAACATTCTTCCCATGTTGTCTGTTATAAATTAAAAAAAAAGTAGTATAAACCATGGTAGTTGAATCGGGATACAAATAGTGTATCGGAAAGCTTATATTTTGAATCGTGAATCGAATCGTATCGTGAATCGTAAGATTCATGATCAATAAAAACATATATATATATATATATAAACAAATATAAAAAAAATAAAATCATACATTAATATATAGTTAATAATATATAAACATATTCTAATTTATTTATTTTTACATATATATATAAATATTAAATAATTTATAATACATATAATTAATGATATACATATAAAAATAGAAACATAACTTAATTTATACATTAAATAATTTCAATAATTAAAATTTATAGTAGTTAAACAAAATAATAAAAAAATTAAGAAAACAAAATATTTAAGGTTTTATATTAAATTTTTTATTACTTAAAATATTATCTGAATTATAATAATAATTAATAATAAAGAGAAGTTACCTTCTTAAAAAAAAAATAGTGAAGGCCAAATCAAAAGATAAAATAAAATTTGGGCCCATTTGGCCCAACTTTTCTTTGAAGAAGACAGGTTGCATATGCCGGAGATGACAGAGTCACCGCCGGAGGAGACACAGTCGCTGTCAGAGAAGATAGATCGACGGAGATTCGTCGGAGAAGAAGACAGATCGGTGGAGGATCGGCACTTTCCCTCTCTTTTCTGCATTTTTTTTAGGGTTTCCAGAATCAGGTCGCGCGTGACTCGATCCAGTTTCGAGGCGTGACCCGCTGTTTCGAAATCGTGCGATTTCGTCCAGAATCGCGATTTTTCCGATTCACGCAACGATACGCACGATTCACATGCGATTCTTAATCAAAAACGAGACAACTTGCGATTCGTATCGCGGAAGCTCGGAATCGTATCGTATCGTACGATACGAATAGCGATACATCCGATACTTACTACCATGGTATAAACAACTTGAAAGGTCATTCATTAAATAATAGGTATTTTAGGGAGAGAATTATTAAATGAGACACAATAGTTAAAGTTTGTTTATATTTAAGAATAAGTGTAAAAAACTGTTTTTTTGTGTGCTTATAATAGAGAAGAGGGAGTAGTAATTAAGTTCTTCAAATATCTTGACATATTGAAGTCTTCCATCCAATTACAAATAAAAGCATAATTGCAGTTCAAATTAAGATGCACTAACGTGACAAAATATTGATAATTATATCTTGAGGTTTACTTGGTTAACTAGCATCCAATTGCAATACAAAGCAGAAATTTAATTTACTAGCCATTATCTGCAAAATTTTATACGCAGGCGCGTACATAATACCATAGTTAAAGTTTCTAGCATTGGTTTTTGGGATCAAGGTGCATTACGAGTTAAATTTCTGGTTGGACGCATTATCAATTTTTTATCTGTTGCAAATGAATCTTTAAAATTGATTTCGTTGGCGTTATAAGTTGACGATTGTGGGTGCTGTTAATAAAGCGTCGGATGTAGAGTCGGATGTAGAACTGTTGCTTCATGCATTGAAAAATGAAAAAAATAGTCTTCAGTGTGTCATGTCAGTATTAAACAAATCAAACATAAATTTACTCAAATGGTAAGAAATTTTAAGAAATTTAACTTTTATAATTTTTTTTCTAATTATTTATGAACCAAATTTAAATTTTTATTAAAAAAAATAATTGTATTACAATGAAAGAAAATAAATTACGAGAAAAAATTTAAATAAATAAGTATTAAAAATAAAATAAAGTAATAATAAATACATAAACATTATATAAAATTAATTTTTATCATTATTATTTTTGAAACGTTCTCAAATATGTTTAATAAGATTTGCTTGAAATCTGGTAAGAAACGGTTGCTTGAGGAAGCAACTCTCTCTCTTCTTCAAGCAACTCATTTTATCACAACAGAGTCCTCCAATAGTTGAGTTGCTTCATGGGACAAGCAACTCCCATTAGAGTTGTTTTTAATATTTTGATAGCAAAATTAAAGTTGGTGATCGAATTTTATTGAAGGTTTGGGTTTGGGTACTAAACATTTATAGTTCAATTTATTCGTTTTGATTTTCTTGTGAACTGCTATTATAATGGTATTAAATACCGATACACTGCTCCAATCTCATTGGAACTTGGATTTACCTCTACCTCTATCATGTAAACTCCATTTATCTCGACAAAATATTTACCCACTTTTCACCTCTCACATGGATTTAAAGTGCAAGTCATGAGAAGAAGAAAAAAAAGGTTTTCTGAACCTCTTATCATCCATTAAAGTTTAAATTATTATTATACCTAAATTTTGAGGGTATCATTCCATCAAATTTAAAATACTCTAATCATTTAGACCTTGCCACTATTATGTCCCACGTTCTCCTACTCCTTTAACAATAACAGTCGTTTCATCACAACGTGAAAGGCCTACTTGTCTGAAAACATGGAGCAACATTAATTGGCAATAGATGTAGGCCAGAGTAGACATCAATGACTCGTTTGACACCACACAAATACATGAAAAAATCATAAGGGGAAAAAGGGCAGAGCGAGAACAAAGTTTGAGGATCCAAGAATTTTTCAGGTATTGGGTCTATAGGGATGAAGGTTGAGGTAAACTTAACTTTTTGTTAAATTATTACAGTTTCTTGCAAATTAATAATAGGATCTATTATTATTGAATTTAGCATAGAACAAAGGAGAAAAAAAATACTTGGTAGGCTGAATCAAACAAAATAAGCACTCTATCAAATCATAAACCATTTTTTTTTAACATTCTTTGATGCCTCACAAAACACAATAATCCTGGCTTATGACACAATATTACATAGGATTGTATCTAGTGGAAGAAGCATATAGTCTTGGCAAAAGAAAAAAAAAACGCAATAATCTAATCATAATGGTGTGTTTGGATGAAAAATTTTAAAAATTCAAAGAATTTGAATCCTTTTTAGAATATGAACTACTTTAATTTTAATTTTTATAATTCTTTAAATATTTTGTTTGGACTTTCTTAAATTTTAAATTTAGTTTGGATATAGTAATTGATTTTTATCATGGTAAAATTGATTTTTTTATAATATATATATATATATATATAATATATATATATATATATACCCATATATATAAATTTTGAGATTTTAAGATTAAATTTTATAAAAATAAACATTAGTCATTTTTCAAATATTTAATAGATATGTTTTAGTATTCAATAATTAAGAGATAAGAGAGAATGATAAAAAATATAAAGATGAGATAAGGAAGATAAAATATGAAGAATTTCAAATTCTTTCTTTTTTTTTTTTTTGAAAAATTGAAATACTACTATTATTTTGAAAACTTTCACAAATGTTTAAATTTCATATTCTTTATAAATTCTCCATCCAAACAATGTATTTTATTCTAAGACATTTAAAATTCTTAAAAGAAAATGAATTACTTCAAAAGTTTCCTATTCAAATACACTCTAAATAGGGGTGAGCATCACAAAAGGTTTAGTCGGATTCGAATAGAAAGAAAGAAAATGCTCACTCAACATAAATTGACTTTAGTAAATTCGTTGTCCTTTTTGGACTCGAAGGAAGGCCACTGAATAAGCTTTCCAACAAGTATCATATGCCTAAATTGGACTTGACATAAGACTTAAACCCAAATTTAGTGAGGTTCAGAAGTTGCGACTTCAAACACGATTTTAACCACGCAAGAGTGTGAATTGTCCCGAGTTCATGAAACATTATAACACTCCCATTATTCAAAAAAATAATAATTAAATAATTTCAGTAAATAGTATATTTATTTATTATTTAGTAAATTACTTTTAAATTTAATTACATTATATATTTTTTATCAAACAAACGAATGACAATGAACTAAAAAAAATTGTAACATATTTTAATCAAAGTATATTTTAAATCATATATTTTAATGAGAACCCCTAGGGTTATGATATTGTATGACTTCCGGTTGTTTGGCTTGGATTGAAAGTTCTTGTTGTGGAATTGTACTTTATAGTGTGTATTCCATTTTTAAAAGGTTGAGTTTGAATTCCATTGTGAATCATTGAGTGGTAATAATGTTCAAATTGTTTGATTAATGTGTTAGGGAGGGGAGGTGGGGTGGGGGTTGAGTTTTAACCTTAAATAGATAACTTAGGGTATGTGTTTGGGACTCAAAGCCTTAAAATCTAATAGAATAAATTGGTAATTAAATTGATTGAATAATTGAGGTTAAGGATGAGTTGAAATCCTTATATTAGGCTTTAATTTGCTAATGTTGTCCTATCTTCGGTGGCTCAAAGATTAAACTCTATTCCTAAGCCTTGTTGGAAAGGTGATTCCCTTGCGATCAAAATCCCGGAAGATGCTTACCGGGAGGGCCTTGCTAGGTGCTCCACACATCTTCACGGGAGGGTCCTCTTGGCTAAAGGCCAACAACCACTCAAAGTTGACGAATTGAAAGCACGACTGTCCAAGGTGTGGAAGCATATAGCTGGCTGGAATATCATACCACTAGGGAGAGGATTCTTTGAGTTGGAATTTCAAAGATCCCATGATCTTGAAGTGGTTCTTGCAGCTGGCTCGTTAAACTTGGACCCGGGGTGGCTGCGGCTATCACTTTGGAAGCCTGACTTCAATCCAAGATGTTACAAGAATACGTTTGCACAGGTTTGGCTGCGCATCTTGGAGCTCCCCCAAGAATATTGGAGTCCAAGAATTATTCTTGCAATTGCATCAGCAGTTGGAACTCCAATTTCTCTGGATAAAGCAACGTTGGATAGGAAGTATGGCCACTTTGCTAGAGTATTGATAGAAATTGATCTTGCACATAAGATTCCCACGCAGCTGCTGGTTGAAAGGGAAGGCTACGCTTTCTTTGTTTCTTTTGAATTCGATAGGTTGCCTCCGTTTTGCACTATATGTAAATGTATTGGACACGTTGATTCTGCATGCAATGTTGTTATTCATGCAGGTGATGGCTCACGTAATTCTAATATGCAGAAAGGACATGATAGGCCACGTAAATTTGTGGATACTGCCGTTGAGGAAGGGAGTGATCATGTTAAAGATAATCCACACGCTGATCAGCATGGTGATCCAGATGCATTACGTACAAAGAAAAGGCAGCTGGCTGGTGGTTCAGCTGCTGTACCAGCCACGGACCTTGTGCATTCTGGTGCAGTGGGGAGCTTGGAAGATGCACCTGGCACAAGTGTAGCAGGTGCTGGACATGCACCGCCTGAAGTAGCTGCTGCACCGCTTGGAGCAACTTTGATGGCTGCACACGTAAATGCTGACCTGGACGTAAATTCTGGTGCAGCACGAGGTGTTAACTTTGCAATAATGGACTCAAACTCTGCTGCAGCTGATGATCCGCAAGTGATCAAGGGTGTAGCTGCTGCACCGCTTGGAGCAACTGTGATAGCTGCACACGTAAATGAACCTTTGTTGGCTACTAAAAATCCAATGTGCGTGCAGCACATGGTGCTGCCTCAGCTGACTTGGACGTAAATTCTGGTGCAGCACGAGGGCCTAATGTTGACATAATGGACTCCAACTCTACTGCTGATGATCCGCAAGTGATCAAGGGTGTAGCTGGTGGAATGGCTGGGTCCGCTGAGCATATTGTGTAGAAAAAATAAGAGAGACGAGGTAATACTAATGTTGTGGGTGAACGTAGCAACTCACTGTGTTTTTTATTGAATAAGAGATGACCTTTAAATAGCCATTTTACAACATACTGAACTAACAAGAAGATAATAAAATATCTTATCAAATCAAAACTTATCAAAAAACTATCTTATCTAATCTGAAACAAAATAACTCAAAAGATAAATCAAATAATTCCAGATATAACTTAAATCGGATATCTCGGATATCTCGGATATCTCGGAATCTATAGAAATTTAAGATTTTCCAACAAAACTCCCCCATAATCTTAAATTTCTCCTTCTTCTTTCATTCCGAGTAACTTTCTTAACTTCTGAAATGTTGTTGTCGGCAATGGTTTTGTAAAGATATCGGCTACCTGCTCTTTACTTCCTACGTGTTCGAGCTCCACGCTTCCTTCTTTCACCTTTTCCCTGATGAAATGAAATCGGACGTCGATGTGCTTGCTTCTTTCGTGATTGATTGGATTCTTGGCTAGCTCGATTGCCGACCTGTTGTCTACTCGGATCAACACTTTCTCAGCTTTCATAATTTCCAGTTTGCTTAGCAAGTTTCTAAGCCAAACTGCATGTTGGACACTCCAAGATGCTGCTACATACTCGGCTTCACACGTTGATAGAGCTACGATTGGTTGTTTCTTTGATAGCCAAGTGAAAGCCGAGTTTCCCATGAAGAATACGTACCCAGCTGTGCTTTTCCGATCATCCACATCTCCACACCAATCACTGTAAATCTAAAATATAATTTATATATTTAAAAATATTTATTTGTATATATATAGTTTATTATTATTTTTTAGTTATATATAATAAATATTTAGTTTATACATTATATGAACTAAAATACTAGATGTTTAACTACTCACACTTATCTATAACAATATTTATAATCTATAATTTATAACGTATATAAAGATGATATTCTACTCGAACTTGAAAATTTTAAATTTGAGAACCAATTTTTAAGTTTGAGGATCAAGTGCATCACTGATCAATCCAACAAACATTTATAATTTTTAAAGACTTTTAGTTAATTATATAATCTATAACAATAGATAAAGGGAATACATGAGTTTGGTTTCCACTATTTTTAAGACATTTATATCCTTTTTTTAACTGCATATGCTTTTACTTAATTGTATGACTGTCTTGGGCATAAATGGAAAATAAAAATGCTATGTTCATAAATCACACCCCTCTTACTAGAATCTCTCTTTTGTTGAAACCACTTCTCTCACATTTAAAAAATGTAACCGCACATTTTAACTGCACGATCTCTTTTGCTTTTTTCTTCGTGTACCCACCAATGATAACAAATAGAAGTTCACCACTAGCCCGTAGAAGGAGATTATTAGATTAAAAAGTTGCATACGCAGAAGAACCAAGTTAAGACTTTTTGGTCCTGTGAAAGTTACTTTTCTTTCTTCTCTCAATCTTCTGTTGTTATTTTAAGTTTTTTCTTCTTTTCTTGACATAAGTGATTGCATTTTAATTATTTTTTTCAATACTATAAACTAAAATTTGAAGTACTGTCGACATTTTTTGTTTTTGTTGTGTTTGTGTGTGATTTTTTTATTTTTTCATTTTTGGCTTCATATGTCCCATTTGATCTTAAATTCAATGGGTTTTACTTGAGATTTTGCATGACCGTAGATTCTAAACAAATTTTTTATAATTTTCATAGTGGTTTTTTTTTATTAATGGTGGTTTTTCTTACTTAATTGTGATTTCCAATTGTTATATTTATGAACTATTCCTATATATGTCAGGAGGTTTTTTTATCAATGGTAGTTGGTTAGTTTTTATGCTTATATTGATCTCTCAAGGTAACCGAAAGGATATTTGTCAGGAGGTGAAACAAAACGTGAAACCAACAATTAAGAGCACAAATGCACCACTTTTACCACGTTACTGTTTTCAATTTTGGTTCCACTTTTTTAAATCACTTTACCCCAACTCAACCTTCTCTAATAAAAAATAACAATACAAGGAATACAAGTAAAAAATTCATACGTTCATTTCTTACTCTATAAATTTCACACTTTATGTAAAAGCACTAACCACCGTTTTCTCCTTTGATTTCCTTTTTTTTAATTTATCTTTATTTTCTTTTTCTTACTCTATGAATTTCACACTTTATGTAAAAGCACTAACCACCCTTTTCTCCTTTGATTTCCTTTTTTTAATTTATCTTTATTTTCTTTGATGGTTGGCATATAATAGGTTTTACTTGAATGGAAGCAAGTAGCAACCCTCAGGAGGCCAAAACAAATATTTGTGTTCTATTTTTTTTTTGTGTCAAAAATGTAAAAAGATAAAAAAAAACAAAAAGAAGATTCAAAATTAATCCATTGAAATTTCTATTCTTTATGATATTATTTTCTTTACTTTTAAATTTTTTTAAATATTTATTGTTTAGTTTTAGTTTTTTTGCAGATTCAAATTTAACTCACAAAGATAAATCAACATTCTTTTATTAAGTAAGTGAGTTGTTCTTTCATATATATATATAACATATACAATTAATAGTCATATATATTTAATTGTGTTTTAGTCATCAACATTTCTTTTATTTCAATCTTTTTTTTCTTCTTAGTTTGAGTGTTAGAGATAGATATGTGTTGGAGATTTAGTTAATGTGTACCGTTAATAGAAAATGCTCCCTCGAAAGGTATGTCAAACTACTTCCCATTTATTGCCTTTCCATGTACATTTTGGTGTGCTTTTCAATTTTGGATTCTTCCATTTGATTACTACTTAACTGTGAAGAGTTAATATTTTTAATTTCTTCTCAACATTTTGATTGTTATAGTTGTTTTAAAAGTATAAAATCAGATAAAACACTTTAATTCCTTTTGACATTACATTTTTATTGCTAAGTTTGGTTGAATGATCAATACAAAAGTAAAGTCATTATGACATTACATTCTTATTGCTGAGTTAAAATAAAATAAAATAATATAGTAGTTTGACCATTTATTTAAAATTGATTAATAGTGGTTATTATATTTATTTATTTATTTATTTTCTTACTAATTAGGTGTATAATTGTCCATAAATTGTAAAAACTAAAAACAATTACTAGAATAAGTATTTTTTTCTTCATATATTAGTATATATTTATCAACTTTTGAACAAATGCTTTTCGATCAAAAAGATATTTAGATTTAATATTTATGAAATATATCTATCAGTTGAAAGATTACAAATTCACTTACTAAATCGTCATCAAGTGTGATTTTATAAGCATCAAAGATTTAGTTCTCTTCGCTTCAAATTATTTTTTAACAAAGTTCATGTTTATACCTTTTTTTATTATTATTTAAGTCTTTCTATTTTTTGAGTCAAAATGCATTTTAAAACTTATTTATTTAATAAAACGTGAAACCAACAATTAAGAGCACAAATGCACCACTTTTACCACGTTACTGTTTTCAATTTTGGTTCCACTTTTTTAAATCACTTTACCCCAACTCAACCTTCTCTAATAAAAAATAACAATACAAGGAATACAGATGTACCAGCAATTCAATCAAAGGCTGGTGATTTTGGAGCAGGTTTGGGTGATTTAATTGGTGATGCAACTATTGATCCAGAAGCAGATGACAGTCATCATGCTGTTGACTCCCTTGAAGGCTTGCCTCCTCTAGAAGACCTCTCAAATGACCAAAACCCAAGTGCTGCACATGCTGATGTAGCTGGTGCAGTAAATGTGACTGCACAGATTCATATTCCAGCAACTAGCTCTTGCCACAAGATGTGGGATTTTGCAGCCATTATGGATGCTGCATCTGAGTCCGAAACAGAGCAGGTGGATCTCTTACCACATGTCCCTAAGACTAATTCTAGAGTCCCGATTACTCGCGATGTAGAGTAGGATAACCTTCTAAACAATGCAGCTGATTTTTACGATAAAAATTGGGCTGATTTTCCTCCACAGGTTCAGCATGATATGTCTCTCCTTGAGGCTGCTGGATATGACTGGGAGAAGGGATGCATGGGTCCGCCTAAGGCACAACCTTCTAATGCTAAAAAGTCAGCGTCGGATAGGCCTAGAACTCGTGCACGATCTAGAGCTTCTAAATCCAATAAGTACTCATGATGGAGCTGGATGATGAGAGTCCTTATTGGTTTCATTTGGTGCTAGATAGGACATATTGGATTTGTATGGTTAGTGTTAGATGGGCTTCCCTGTTATGTTTTGGTCTCGGCCAATGATTTTTTGATGTCTCTTTTTGCTCTCTCTTTACCTCTTTTCTTTGCTTTGGATTTACTAGTGGGTTTTGGTTTGGTCCCCCCACTTGTACCTTTACTTTCTTTTATATTTTAGTGCATTTTGATATGCTGTAGATGATTGGTGTAGGCTGAGGTACAAACCTAGTCAGGATCTCTTGCCCACATAGTGATGTATAGAAATTTGTGTGCCTAAATTATGCATATTATATGACCGAATTAGGCTTCATGATTTTAATAAGATTTGTATCTCTAGATGTTAGATAACCAATGGATATGGAATTACTTAAATAAGATGTCGTGAACTTAAGTTATGATCAAATTGGTTAGCAAATGTCAAGCTGTCAAAATTATGCTTAAATGTTATTATTTGATAATTTTTAAGTGTAGCAGATGGTAATTTGACGCACTCTACTTCACATACTAATATAAGCATAAAATTAAGGATATGGAAAAAAGTTCGTAAATAACTTTATTGAATGAGAAAAGTTCGTAAATAACTTTATTGAATGAGAAAAGTTCACAAATCCACTTTGATAGAGGTATTACATATAAAATGAAACAAAACCATTATACCAAAATAGATATCTCATAAGGTCATGCAAAATGAAATCTAACATCAAATTTTAACATACAAGAACAACCAACAGAAAACATAAATCCTAGCTACTACTTCGATGTCACATCCTATCAAAGCATAAACCCATCATAAGGCCTAGACATCGTCTGCA